AACGTAGGTACGGGGTGACGTAGGTACGGGGTAACGTAGGTACGGGGTGACGTAGGTACGGGGTAACGTAGGTACGGGGTGACGTAGGTACAGGTGACGTAGGTACGGGGTAACGTAGGTACGGGGTGACGTAGGTACAGGTGACGTAGGTACGGGGTAACGCAAGTACAGGGTGACGTAGGTACGGGGTGACGTTGGTACAGAGTGACGTAGGTACGGAGTGACGTAGGTACGGGGTAACGTAGGTACGGGGTAACGTAGGTACGGGGTGACGTAGGTACAGGTGGCGTAGGTACGGGGTGACGTTGGTACAGAGTGACGTAGGTACGGAGTGACGTAGGTACGGGGTAACGTAGGTACAGGTGACGTAGGTACGGGGTAACGTAAGTACAGGGTGATGTAGGAATGGGGTGACGTAGGTACTGGGTGACGTAGGTACGGGGTGACATGGTATGGGGTGACGTAGATACGGGGCAACGTAGGTACGGGGTAACGTAGGTACGGGGTAACGTAGGTAGGTACAGGGTAATGTAGGTACAGGGTAATGTAGGCACGGGGTAACGTAGGTACAGGGTAATGTAGGCACGGGGTAACTTAGGCACGGGGTAACTTAGGTACAGCGTAACGTAGGTACAGGGTAATGTAGGTAGGTACAGGGTAACGTAGGTACCAGATTCCATAGGTAGTGGAACGTAGAGAAGACCCTATACTGTTGCTATGGTGATGGAGATTTCTGAGTGTTTGTTCATCAGGACTTGTATCCATGGTGGTGCTCATAAGGGTCTGAAATACTAAAAGGTTTAGACCAGCTTAAGAACTTTTCATTTACACTTCCTCTTTTCTTGTTTTTCCACATTTTGTGTTTTCCCTCTCTTCAAATTTCTATTCACCAAAGGTGTTTTTGTCCTTCTGTTCTCTTCTACTCCTCTTTCATTTCCTCTTCTATGTTTTTTACCTTTTCATCTTTTCTCTCGTTTCCCCCTTTCACATCCAGTTAGAGCTTATCTCTGCCATTGAAAGCCCCGTTAAGCTGAATGGCTGTCTAGTGAAATAATTGAGGAACACTGTCAAAGAAAACTAAGGCAGTAGGAGTTCTTTACTTGTATCAAAGACTCGAAACAAGGATAAATTACTGTGAAAATGTATTCAACCTCAGTGTACCGCAGTTCAGATGTCACCATGCTAATAACAAAAATAATATGCACGTATAAATAGAGCTTCACAAACCCTCATACGACCAGTCTTCAAGGTTTAATTATCTGACTAACAARTAGAGGCTATGAGGAAAGAGAAATTGGGTACAACCCTTGTTATTTTGACTCTTCTAAGCCCACATCCACAAAATACCAAATCCCACCCATTGACCGGTCAAACAACTGTGAGAAAACAAAGTCCACCTTAAATCCTTTGTTGGTTCCGTTTTATGGTTTACAAGTACAAATGCACCTCACACAAACGGAAAGTGTAGGGGGAAAACCCCTGCAAGACTTTGATTAAACTCTAACCCTTGCTGGTTATTGAGTTTTTTAAGAAAGTGCGAAATCATTCCTGAAGCAGTGGAGCTTTTTCTTTTGGTTCTAACTATGATCAAACTGACAGAGGTACGTAGTTGTAATGGGCAGCATTGCACACGAATGTGTTCAGATAAGTATTCTTTTCTAAACTGGACTTGAGTTTGGCTCATTAAATAATGTTCTGTTGAAAAAGTGAAAAGTTTCTCTGAATAAAATGGCTTTTAGAGTGTCTCAAGGTGGAGTGGGGWCATCTTTCTGTTTCCCTGCACTTCTATTTGATCTGGCTCACCCAAAGGAAACAGAACCTATAATGTGTGATTGTAAAATTATATTTTGTATTAGTTTCTATATTGTTCTGCACAAAATATGATGTTTACTAAATTAGCTCAGGAGCCAACATCATATATACACTGCCTGGCTGAAAAAAAAGTTGCCACCAAAGAARAAATGTCCCACWGTAATACTTGGTTGGACCAACTTAAGCTTTGATTACGGCACACATTCTCRGTGGCATTGCTTGGATAAGTTTCTGCAATGTACCAAGKTTTATTTCYATCCAGTGTTGCATTAATTTTTCACCAAGATCTTGCATTGATGATGGTAGAGTCTGACCTTCTCCAGCWCRTMCCAAAGATTCTCACTGGACTCTGTGGAGCCAGTCTGTGAAAATGATGTCTCATGCTCCCTGAACCACTCTTTCACAATAAGWGCTCGATGAATCCTTGCATTGTCATCTTGGAATATGGCTGTACCATCAGGGAAGAAACAATCCATTGATGGAACAACCTGGTCATTCAGTATATTCAGGTCAGCTGACCTCATTCTTTGATCACATACTGTTGCTGATTCTAGACCTGACCAACTGCAGCAAGCCCACATCCTAACACTGCCCCCACAGGCTTGTAGAGAAGGTGCTTGACATGATGAGTGCATCTCTTCACTAGGGCTGGGCCATATCATATCGTTCAGGATAATACCGGTAAAAAAACTTGCCCGGGAAAATAAATGATATCATGATATGTTAATTTCATGACCGACGTCGTTTTGCCAATGTCGGTATAGAGAAACCTGCTTGTTTTCTGTTGCGGTGCGGCCTCGTTAAGCCGCCCAGTCTTATACAGGTTTAAAAAGACGCTGCTTTCAACAAATCAAATGAACCCCACAGCTTTATCTAATCAGAGCAGAGCAGTGCGGGTCTTTCTGATGTCCATGAAGCAGTCTGCAGGATAAACACCGGTCAGCCTGCAGCTCGACTACTGTCCTGAGTGAGCAAACCCTGTCTTCCACACTTCGCTCCCGAGCTACCAGAGACAATGGTATCTAAAATCTAACACACTATAAGTTTATGTGTACAAAGCTTCATTATCTAACAGATATGCCCAACTTTGCTCATGTGACCAAATTGCTCTCATCGACAGCGCTGTTATGGGAGCGTGCCGAGGTGCACACAGGCTGAGTTTTTCTGTGAGAGACAGTTTCAGCTCTTCCAAAATATTAACTCAGATGAACACTTGTT